ACCGCATATACCCGTAAGGGATTCCCTGTGCCGTGTCGTCGTTATAGTGTGAAAATTAAGAAGGCTTTCACCTATAATACTAAGATCTTTAATAGTTGCTTTTTACTGTTTACAATTCATGTTGTATTATCTGCATATACAATTGCTGCTTGATGATATCTTGTAATGTTGTTGCATTGCATACCTTTTTAAAGTTGTTGTTTAACTATATACCCTAATCTTTTATTTTCTTGAATTTTTTCTAGTAATGAGTTATAAAAGAGATGCTATATTAATGGTAAGATTACCTCATCTTGGTCTATTCTATCTTCTGCTGTTAGTTTTTTTGTTAGGCCATATGCTGTAATTATTCTTAGTTGTCTCTTGTAAAAAAGTTTTAATATATATTTAATTGTTTTCTTGAGTATTTTAATTCTTTGCAATGCTAGTTCAAGACTTTCAAGAAGAACTAAGTCAAATGCCTTCTTTATATTCTGCAACAGTATCCATATTTCTTTATCTTTTTCTTTTGCTTTTTCTATTATCATGTTTAAAATCTGTACTGGTTGCTCTGTTAAGTTTCTTGAAAGGTCTGTAAAGTTCGGTTCTTTGAGTATTTCTCTTTTTATAAATATTTTGGCAAGCCTTTTTGTTATTACTTTTGTAACAACCTTTCTAAATATAAGGGTTAAGCCTATATAAAATTTGCTTTTCAGATTACAAACCAGAATATAAAATTATTATCAGAATACCAAATCAGTTATCTAAAATAATTTAGTTGACTTAGTTAACCCGATTAACCTGATTAAATTATATAAAGCATGTAAAAAGATGCATAATGCTAACAACTCTAGCAATTAAATAGTAATTTTGTGGTAAAAATATCGATTTTTTTGTGCTATTGATAGTTTAGTACTGATTCTGCTTAAAAAAGGAGTGCAAATATATTTATTTATTAAAAAACCTCAATTGTCATTAAAATATAACATTCTTAATTGCTTAAAAAATCAAGTAAGGGATTTTGACGATCACTATTTAAAAGATTACTATTATAATTAAAAAACTGTATTCTATATTACAACTAGAAACTAGGTGCAATATAAGATAAAATTGGCAAATATATTTTTATTCCATTCAATAATCATATCCTTTAAGAAAACTTTATAATTTGTTGTAATTCTGTAATTAGCTGCATTTAATTAGGTGTTCTGTGAAATACAGAAAATCATTATTTCTGGTTAAGATGTTAAATCAACTCTTACATATTAACAAAATTTATTTTAAATAATTTAATATTTATAACAATAAAGTTTTCAGAATACAAATATTTATATTGGGTAAGAAATCAGCAATATGAAGTTTCTGATAATAACAGATAAGTAAAAATTTTATAGTTATAAAAAGAAAAATTGCTAATATTTCATGATCTACTAAAATATTTTAATAATTCTTTCACTATTAAAACCAGAAAAACTTTATATATAATTGTTATGCAATATTAATTAAATTACTATTTCTTTTTAAAAACAATATTTGAAAATAGTTTTTGAACTTAGAGAAGATCACTTTGAAGTTATCTGGTTTCTAGCATCTGAGAACAAGTGTTCATTCAAAACTAAAATGGCTAGAATAGCTAAGTATTTTTTTGCTAATTTACTTAAATCTGGAAATTCCTTTTCATGTTCTTTTCATTATATCAAAGGTCAAGTTTGTTTGGAAGCAATAAGAACTTTATTAATATCCAAATACTTGTTTAGCTTGTTAGTTGACAAACTATTATTGTCCTTATTATCGTTATTATAAATTGATGTGAAGTACTGATTAGCTGAAGTTATATTGGATGCAGCAATTGCTTGTACTGGAATTTCACCAGCTATAGTATTAAGTTCTTCATGATATGTTCTAATTGTTTTTTCACATATATTATTAGCCCAAAGACATATTTTTTTAAGCCTTGGATCTAGTAAACTTGCTAGAAGACCTGTATAATTTGGGTCACTTCAATACTCTCAGAGTGAATTATAAATACTTTGGTTGACTTGAGCAACAACTGAATGAATATTGAGAGTTTTTTGTAAGTCAGTAATATTTTCATATTTATTATTACTGTCTATATCTGATTCTAAAAAATATTATTTTTATAATTATTTGTTAGTAAGTATATAGCTATTTTATTACTATGTATATATTAAAAGTATTTTATAAAAAAATTTTTATTTATCATCTTCTTTATTAATACTATCTTCAATTAATGGTAAATTTGGATCTATTGCAAATTTAAACTTTAGAACTTCAATAATAGGATAGACGACTGATAAAATAAGATAATTCTTGGCACTAAATTCTTCAGTTGTATAGTTAAAGGGTTCAAAAATTTTAATTAATTCTTTGACTAATTTTCATTTGTCTTCGTTAGGTAAAAAACTTTTAAGTTTTTTATTATCTTTTTTATCTTCTGAATTTCATGAAATTTTTAAATTTGCTTCTAACCAAATAATAGCATCTTTTAATTTTAATAATCTTTTCCAAGAGTAATATTCTGAATTTCATCTAGTAGAACAATTTTTAATTAAATAAAGAACTTTAGAAACAGTATTTACAATTAATGATTGTTCTGAATCTGTGTTATTGTCATCATTAATTTCTTTATACTCTTCATTGTCAAGATACAATTTAATGTTTGTTGATTAAGATAAAAGCAATCTGTCTCTTTTTATTATTCTAATTTGTGCTTTTTCTAATCTTTCTTGCTGTTTTGGTAAATCAAAAAAATAAACAAGCTTTTTTATTTTTTTTATATTTAAGTTAACTTTTTTTAGAGCATGATTAACTGTTAGCTGTAAGGTGTGTGCAGCACATGAAATTTGAGTAACAGTATTTCATAACCAAATAGCTTTTGTCATATTAGTGCCATTGTCAGTAACAACACATATAGTTTTATTATCAAGGTTGAATTTAGTATATTTTTTTAAAAGAAATTGGTAGATCGATTCTGCAATATGTGGATATTCTATTTTTTTACAACATAACAATACACTATGCAATTACCAATTAGGAGTTATCTAATGACAAGTAATGCCAATATAACTTTCATTTTTATAGAATGTCTACAAATCAGTAGTAATTATGACAGTTTCGCAAGATGTTTGAATTTCTTGTTAAAGAAATTCAATATTTTTTAAATAACTAAATTCTATTTCACTTTTTATAAATCTGTTAGAAGGTGGATAAAACTTCAGATCAATTTTTGATACCATTCAACGAAATTCTTTTTTTCTTGGTGCTGATAATGGTTCATTATCAAGAAGTATTCATTCAATTATGGCTATGACTATTTCTTTTCTTTTGGCACCTTTATGTAAAATATTAGTTTTGATTATATCAGGTAAAGTGGTTTGTCGAATTTGTTGAATTTTAGACTTAAGTTTTTTGTTATCAACAATATTATATTATACTTGTAGATGAGAGATTATATTTGATGTTGATTTGTCATATAAATATTCTTGTTCATATTTTTTGTCTTTTCTAATTTCTATTTGACATACATCTTTATCTTTAATTATTTTAAAATATTTTTATATGAAACTTAATTTATTTCTACCTCTTTTTTTTTTAGAGCTAATTAATTTGATCATTGAAGATTCGTTAGTATTATCAGCTTCACTATCACTTTGATTCATATATGTTGTTTTATAAAAGCTTGAGCTAGACTCTTCTTAAGAATCTATTTTTATTTAAGCAAGTATAAAAATAAGCCTGAATTAACAAAAGAAAAAAAATATTATGTATATACTATAATCGAAATAATTAACTAATAAAATGTCAAGAATGTAAATTTTAAAAAACAATTTTTATTATATAATAAGTATAAAAGATGTTCAAAATTTGTCTTTACAAAAACTTTATACATATCTTTTTATATAAATTACAACTACTAATACTTAACTTCTATTCTCTAGATTATTATACAAATATAAAACTATTTACTATTAGATCATACTAACATAATGACTATAATGCTATGTATAATAATCTTATGCATAATGATTTTATGCAAATGATTTTATGTATAACAATCCTATTTATAATGATTTTATATATAATGATATAAGCAAGATGAATAATTAAAAAAAAAAATTATGTGGTCTTTGTCAGTGTCATCTTAAGACCAAGTTTATAGTTTATTTTACAACTTAAATAAATTCAAGTTTTATTAAAGAATATAGTTTAATTATTCATTTATTTAGAAGTCAAATTGAATTTTATTAAATATGAAAAGTGAAACTTTAAATACAAATTTTTATCAATACAATTTAATTATTTTGAATACATTTTACTTAAAGTTGAGAAATTTGAATAAAAAAGGTTAAGATAACTTAATTACTAAGTATAAAGTAAAAGAACAATGTTTACAAAAAATGGGCAATAGAAATTTACTAATAGGGTTTCAAAATTAACAAATAAATGCCACATTTTGAACATAAGTAAAAATTTTTAAATAGCATTTTTATTATATAATGACAAATAAAATAAAGTACTCTGATGAGGATAGTGATCCTAGTGTAGTAGTTGGGTTGTCATCCTCCAAGTGGCAAGTCTAAGGTTCAAATCCCATCTATGACAAAATTTGGTAATTATATTTGCATTATAATAAACTGTCTCTTGTTGATTGGTTGGATTTAGGTATCTGTAATCTTGGGTACAACCAATTAGGTTCTACTCGTCATTGAGAGCCTGGGGCATCTATGCAAAGTGTAACGTTATATGTATATAAAGGAATGTTAATAACTGATGTCGCATAAGACTTCAGTGCAAACCTACAATAAGGCTACTGGATGTAGAAGACCAAGAAATTGAAGAAACAGAAACCAACTTGGAAATTTCTGAGTAAAGAGTAGCACAAGCCTTTGACAGTGCTATTGAACTGATGGAAGTCTAGGAAACTCCAATAAAAAATAGGCGAACATGCAATCAAATGGAAAGATGTGTAAAGGAGCACATAACCAACCAGGCTGCCAGAATTACTGAAGGAAAAGAATACTAAGGTATATCATATCTAGCTATCTGGATTGGGAGTCTGGGGAGTCTATCAGATTCTGAGTTGGATAGTAAGAGGATAAAGAGAAGAAGTCAGAATGATAGGTACCAGGGTTTGAGTAAACTTTACAAGGATAGAAATAGTATAACGTAGTGGTTAAACAGGTAACTTCTGTAACTGCAAGTGTTGGGTAACTATAGTATGTTATATAAAACTAGATCAGCTATGTGTGAGATATGGAAGGCTTTAGTAATGATGCTTCTGAGAATATACTGCATGAAATAAGGTATGAGATCATAAGGTAAATAGATAAAAGTATCTAGACCTTCTTAACTAACAGCTGTATCAGAAATGATCTAGTAATACAGTAAGGATTGCAGCACAGAGGGTTTAAATAGGCAATGCCCTTAGTTGGATTGCAGGTATGGCAGCTAGTGTAGAACCATTGGCAGACTACTTAAATTAGATACCAAAAGTGTATGTGTAGCTAGTTGTACTCTCTAATATAAGGTAACTTCTTTGAGGCTTCAGCTATGAGTCTCTATGTCTAATTTACTGAATAAAACCCTAGGCCCAAAAGAGACTAGTTTAATATCAAAAAAAAAATAAATAAATAAAGTACTCTGATTTTAATTTTGAAACCCTCAATGTAAAAATACTGTGAATGATTAACAGAAAATGAGATAAAAATTAATAACAATAATATGAGGTTTTAAAATTATAGTAAAAATGCTATTTAAAAAATTAAATTTTGAAATCCCAATTTTAATGAATATTAAAAAATTCTAACATAAATTCAAATAATTACAAAATACAACATATAAATAGATGTTATAGTAATATAACTAGAATCATTGAAATATATAAATAAAGTTGTGTTTCTAATAAAAGACTGAACTCGTGAAAACTTGTAACTCACAAGTTAAATTCTAAGTTATTTTTTTAAATTGAAATTCAAGTAATTTGAGTCAAGTAAATTAAAAATTCATTAAAAATTCTTATAAAGTCAAATAAAGTATATTTTAAATTACAAATATGAAAAAAAAACAATAAGGATTTTAAAATTAAAAAACAGATATCTATTTCAAAAGAAATAAGAGATTATTTGTTTTAAAATAAGTAATCTATTACAAAATAAGTGATTTATCAATCTATTTTTATTATATATCAATAGCACTTTAACAATTATTATATAGACAAAAAAGTTTAAATAAACATTATTTCATTTTTCTATTTTAAAATTTTAATTTAAAATACAAATATAATTTGTTTTAAAATACGCTAATTTTGAAACCTCTAATATTGCTATATCAATATATAATTGTTATATTAGTAATTTAACTCATAAATAAGTAACTTGTAAGTTTTGAATTGTAATCATGTGTTGACAAATCTAGCCACTACTCTGGTTTTAAATCTGGGTCAGATTAAAATCTATATATTTCTACTAATTCTAATATAAACACCCTAATCTAATATATAGAACTCTTCAGTTAAATTTTAATCTGATATAAATTTTAATCTGATACATATACAACATATCGCAAATTCGAATTACATTATTTATAAATTAGTAATTAAAAATTTTATAGGTCAACCAGGTAAGTATAATTATTCTGGATAATCATAGTAAATATTGGTTTTCAGGTTGGTGTGTGAGTAGGCTTAAGCTTCAGATTAATGGCCTCTCAAAAAAGAAGAATCCAGAGTTTAGAAGAAGAGTTGGAGAAGTTAAGAGAAAATGCAGTGACAAGGGTGCAAAATGGGTAAATGTTAGAGCAATGGTATACAAGATTGTTGGATAAAAGAAATAAGTTGAGAGCAAGGTTAGAAAATTATGAAGAAGACTTGAGAAGATTGAGAGCAGAAGAAAGAAAAAGAGAAAAAAATAATAATAGAGATAGATTGTCAGATGTTAGATTTTAGATTGTATTTATTATTAATTTTTTTTTTGTTTTTATGATAATAAAATATATGTATTTATATAAAATAAACTAATACTAAAAATAAAGTATTGAAGCCTAATTAATAAAATATTATATAATAAAAATATGTGTAATTATTTGAAAAAGAAAATATATATATAAAAAAATTATGTTTCTAGTATTTCAACCAAGAGCCCTCCTGAACTTGAATTCTAGCAGAGAGCTCCCCCTAGTCAGTCTTGAACGTACAACCTATACTGTTTGATAATATGCCTTATACTGTTAATCTATACAAGAAACATTACTAAATTTTAATTTTGTACTTTTTTTGGAGATCATTAGGATACTTCAAATATTCAATAATATTTTAGAATTTTATATAACTTGTTCTAGATTCTTGATGTTTGATGATTATTTCTATAATTCTAATTTTAAACTTATTATAATAAAGTGATATATTTATAGTTCAAAAGTCCAAAATATTGGGTTATACTACTATAGACTAATGCTGTTATCATAAATCTTATCAGAAAGAGTTAACACATCCATCAGTTAGATTTGAATATATGATTATATAATAACTATATACTTACCTTATCCATTTTACTATAATAGTATATTATGTTAAATTTGTTTATTATACAGTTTTTAAAGATTAACTGTTGTTAAGTGATTGTCTAATAGTATTTCAAAGTTTCATGTGATTTGTAATTAAGGTTTAGGTGTAATATAAGGAGTAAATATAAAAGATTTTTAAATGTAAGAAAATTATAATCTAAAAAAATAAATAAGAAAAAAAGAAAAATAGTTTATAAATACAAGACAAGAAATTTTAAGAAAAGAATGTCTAGAGAAGAAGCAAGAAGGAGAAAGTAAAATATAAAAGAAATAATAATAATAATAATAAAAAATAATAATAATAATAATAATTTTAAATAATAATAATATTATAATAAAGATGAGAAAAATAGAGATAAGATGTGATAGTATTTAATAATTTATAAGAAATAATCTTTTTATAATATTAATAAGATTATTTTTATAGGAGAGATGAATGGATTAAGCATTTGGAGAAGAAGAATACTAAGTTGGAGCATAAGGTGAAAATTGCAGAGAATAATCAAAATGAATAGAGAAAAATGTTTCAAGAAGGTGAAATAAAGTATAAGGAAGTAATTAAAAGTTTATTAAAGAAAGAGAAAGAAGAAGATAGTAATTTATTTATTAGTAAGAAGGGTAGGAATTGAAAAAAAAAATATAAAGAGTTGTATAAAAGAATTAAAAAGGTAGAAAATTTTGATTAGGAGGTAAGTAGGACATTTTTAGTTGTAAATAGATAAAGTATATGAGATCAAAATATCAAGGTGTTCAAGATGAAAAGGTAAAGTTGGTAGTTGAGAGAAATGAATTGAAGAATAAGATTAAGATAGAAGAGTTAAAATGGAATAAAGAAAGACAAAAATTAGAAAATAAAAAGTTGAGTTTGAGAAATAAAATTGAGAGAAAAGAGTTGAAATGAAATAAGAAAAAACAAGAATAAAAAAGAAAAAGGATAAGTTATATGAATAAAGAAATTAGAAAGAAAATAGAAGAAGTAATGAAAGAAGAAGAAAAAGAAATAATTGATGAAGAAGAAAATATTTTAAATAGTTTGATAACAGTAAAAGATTCAGATGAAGAAAAAAGATAATAAAATCTAATAATAATACTAATATAATAATTAAATAATAATAATATTCTATAATTCATTAAATAAAAATAAAGAAAATAAATTTGATGAAGAAATAGAATGGATGAATTGTGATGTTTTGGATTTGAATAATTATGAGAATAAGAGTAGTGATAAGGAAAAAGAAAAAATAATAGTAATAGAAGAAAATGAAGAAGAGATTAGTTCAGATGAGGAATGAAAGGATTGGAAACAATTTGAATTAGATAATAGGTTTAGAGAAAGTAGTTGTAGTCAAAAAAGAATATAAATATATTATTTTTTTTGTTTTAATAAAGAATATAAAAATTATTATCATAAAAGAAAAGTTTATAAAAATAAAAGTTTTGATTATATTAATAATAAAAGAAAATAAAAAAAAAGAAAAATAAAATAAGTGTTTAAGAAATTTAAAGTCAATAGCCTCCTAGATACTATAAGGGTTGAATAGAATCATGTATTAGAGATTTGTTACCTATTGTTCTTTCTGTATTGGTCAGACATAACAAGATTGTTTACTCTTTACAAGAATTACTAGATACTAAAACTTAGAAATATTCTAAAACATAATCAAAAAAAGAAATACTAATAACCAAACTGTTAACAGCTATATGTGGCCTTTAAATTTTAATAATACAAAGCTAGTACTTGCCAAAATACTATTCACGAATACAACTATTATTTTATATTATTTGTAAGAAAGAGAATAACTATACTAATAAAAGATAAAATATAATAGGATATGTATATGATTGTTAAATATATATAATATTCAAAAAATCATCTTTTTAGTATCTTAGAACATAATAGAACCTAAAAGAAATAAGACTTTATATATTATATAGTCTGATTCAAATTAGAAAAATTTTTAAAATTTTTTCATCTATGTGACATAGTAAAAAAAAATTGTTTTAAAATTATATTTTTTGAAAAAGATATTTTTAAAGCTTTTTCATATTATGTATTCATATCTTGAGCTCTTAACTAAAGTTATATAGAAGATCTTTTTAGTTTTAACAAATATTAAAACATTAAAATTGGTCTTGTGAATGACTTTTTATGATGATTTTAAGAAATGCTGAATGTCTTTTTTCTCTTTTTGGAGTTTCTTAAAAATTATTTTTATAGATATTGAAAAATGTTATTATGACTTCAAAGCTGATTTGCAGATCAGGTAAGCATTTCCTTACTATAATATAGTATAATAAAAAATATAGAGAAGGTTTTTGTAAATAGACTGATATGTGTTTCATATTTTTATGTTTAAAACTCATAAAGATATGAACGAAAAATAAAAATCTTTCAAAAATCATTTTTGTAGTTTCTTTTTTTTTATAAATATTTTAGTGTTTTTGTTTACAAATTTGTTTTTCATTAATAATTTTTAGTATTCCATCAGGGAATAAGTTTTTCTAGAAATGGTTAGTATTAACAAGCAATAAAATAATAAAATAATAAAATAATAAAAATAGAAAATAATAAATCTAAAACATAATGCTAGTAAGATAAAATAAAGAATTCAAATAATCAAATCAAAAACTAAATAATTCCCAAATATATATATGTGCAGCTGGCTTATGATATCAAAAATCAAAATTCAAAAATTCAAAAACCAAAAATCAAAGCTAGAAGATAAAAGCATAAACTTCTTCATAATTTTAAAATTCCAAAAATACAAAATACAAAATATAAAATAATCAATTCAAGTTAAATTAGTAAAGATATATCTAAAAATATAAATTCCAAAAATGCTTTTTTCAATACATCTGGGTCTTCGCCAGGATAACTATTCTAATACATCTGGGTTTTTATCAGAATAACTATTTCAATACATCTGAGTCTTTGCTAGAATAATTATTTCAATATATCTGAGTCTTTGTCAAAATAACTATTCCAATACATCTGGGTTTCTGCCAGAATAACTAAATTTAATTTTATATTTTTTATTAATGTGTACATGGTTGAACCTTCCAAGCATTAATGTTCAAGAATACATGATAGAATCTTTTTAGCTTGAATAATAAAATTAAATTTTTCTAGAATTATTTTTATAAGGGTAGAAATATATTATTAGTCACTTTTATTCAGAAATAACAAATTGTCTTGAAAAATGTCTTTTGTTGAGAGAGAGGCCTAGGAACTATCTTCATCTAGGACTTATTCTAAACTAAACCAAGTAATAAAATTTAAATAAAATCTGTATTTGTAAAATAATTTAATAACTAACTATACTAAAGATTATAAAAAATATTCATATCAATATGTTATTATCTTTTATATGTAATGGTCAAGCAGTTATTATTTTTGGTATCTTTAACCAATATAAAACCAAAAGAAATAAAATATCTAGAAGTCATATAATTTCTTGAGATCTAAAAAAAAAATTTTTTTTTTTTAAAGTTTTCATCTATATGAGACAATAAAGGAAAATCATTTCAAAAATATTTTTTTTTACAAAAATATTCTGAAAATAATATTGGTATTAAGTAACAATATTTTGGGTTCTTAATTAAAGTTGTAAAACAGACTTCTATGATTTGAATGGCAATTGAAATATTAAATTTGGTCCAATAGTTAATGTTCTATAGTGATTTAAAGAAATCCCAAATCTCTTTTGTTTTCTTCTTTTTGTCATCTTCAAGAAGAGTTTTATAGATATAGGAAAATGACATTACTACTTTGGAAGTGATTTATGAGTCAGAAAAGCATTTTTGTATTATAATATAATATAATAAAATTTATAGAACA